AAATCCTACTTCCTGGATTGTGAGCTGCCAAAAGGCGTTTGACACAGTGAATTTCTGAGCTACAAAGTATAAAAAAGAATGACTGCTTCTGATCACTTTCCCATAACATCGTGAGAGGAAGCATTTCCAGCCTAAGCAAAACAGGTGGGCAGATTCTACCTGAAGTTTTAGAAACAGAATATTTGGAGTACAATTTTAGAATTTAAAGCAAAACTTATTTTACATTTAGTATATGTTCTTTTTCCAGACATAAAGAGCAAATAAGGAGCTTTATTGGCATAGAATATCTCAGGTGTAAATTAGTACTCTGTTTCCCCCAAAATAAGACCTCCCCGGATAATAAGCCCAATCAGGCTTTTGAGCACATGGACTAAAATAAGCCCTCCCAGAAAATAAGCCCTCCCCGAAAATATTGCAACACAGCAGCAGCCATGAAGTGACCACACTTGCCACCTCCTGCACCTAAAAAATAAGACCTCCCCAAAAATAAGGCCAAGTGCTTATTTCAGGGATCAAAAGAAAATAACACTCTGTCTTATTTTCGGGAAAACACGGTATGCAATAACTTTAGAATGCAATAAAATTTTATTTTCATGTAAATAAGTATTCAACTTTGTCATCTTTCATAATCTTTTCCAGAATCCCCATGTCTCCAAAAAGAAAGTTTGGTTTTTCATCTTTACCACACCATCACTTCACTATTTACATTCTTGCTTAGGAGTAATTCCAGTCAGTGGAGTGGAATAACCAGTCCCATTTCCAAAATGTAAAAAAAAAAAAAAAAACACCTCGTAAGACATTAGAAAGAACTATTGCATAGCAGTCAACACTTGCTGAGTTAATTATGTCCAATAAATTATTAACTCTCATAAATATCAGCGGTGGAATAAACCTGTTTCTTTAAAGAGACATGGAAAAATAATTTCATTACCACTTTCATTTTCCTCACTCAATAATACCCCATTCAAAAAGTTTCCCTGAACAACAAAAGTAAGGTATCATCACCGTATATGTCAATACCAATGATCTATAGAACACTACCTCACTCCACATCGTATCTGACTTTTTGACCAAAACTCTGGAAAGACATTTGTACTATGGGCAGTGAAAGAAAATGTAATATGGGTTTGGGGGTGGGTGCACAGCATGCACACATACACAGAGACACTCATTGAGCAAATTTTTATTTTTGTGTGGCAACTTTTTCTAAATATGAAAAACGTCTTCAAGTAGAAATTTTAGTTTGTTTTCCCAAAGTGCTAAAATACAGGACAAAATATTTATTGATTCATCATACTGCTGTAACTTCCATGATTCTTTAGATATTGTTGTCAGATAACAAGCTACAATATATTTCACTTACTTTAACTGGAAATATGTCATAAACATACATTATTACTTACAAGCTCAGTGACTGGGTTCCAGGGGTGGGTTCCTGCCAGTTCTAACCTCTTCTATAGAAGAGGTTCCACAAATCTACCATGCTGTTGGCCACACCTACCCAGTCACATGACTGCCAAGCCACTCCCACCTGGTCACATGGCCAGCAAGCCACTCCCACAAAGTAGGCCACACCTACAGAAGAGGTTCTAAAAAAATTTGAAACCCACCAAAGGATCCTATAATATTCAAAACTATAAGCAATCACTTTATGACTTACAGTAAGATGTGAAGCTTTTCCACAAATCTGAAGACTACTATTATATTACCACTAAATTATAAGATGTAATAGTGTTTTAAATAAACAGCTTGTCTACTGTCATGTGCAACTGCTTGTGCATGAAAATAAAAATGACTAGGGCCCACAGATATCTTTGCTTTCTCTCTCCAAATTCATACTAATAACAATGGGCATGGTCTGTCACACTGAGTAGTCAACACTTGAGACTTGTTTACATATTGGCGTACTTCAGAGTTCATGTATCAAACTACTGACATGGAGGCAGAGGATAGGATGACTCTATCACATGCTTTTTCTGTGATAGGAAAGTTTGGCAGCATTCAATCATCTCATCCTGCCAAAAAAGTACTGAACTGAAAATATGCCCTCATAGCAACTTTGCATCTACTATTATCCCAGCATCACCTGCCACAGATCTACCCAACATTTGGGCGCATTATTTACTTTCAAAAAGGAAATGTGCCCCATGTGTCATCTCTTTCATTGCAGTTCTCTGCATCATTTTATAAAGTCTCTTATAAAGCTGTTCTCTCAGGCTACTTTCTTGTTCCCAACTCACTATTTTAACTATTTCCTCCATTCTTTAAGGTAATCTATATTTTCTAACCTTTTTCAAGTACATCCTTCAATTTACCCCATTGGCCCTCTATTACTCTTTATACTGTATTAGTTAAACCAGTGGTAGTCAACCTGGTCCCTACCGCCCACTAGTGGGCGTTCCAGCTTTCATGGTGGGCGGTAGGGGTTTTGTCTGATACTGAAGCACTTTCCTTTTAATTTAATTGACTTTTTAAACAAATTTCATAGCATTATTTAAAAACATTTTCATTAGGTTTTCATAAAATCACCATTATTGTGGA